TAAAGAAAACAATAAAATAGTATATTATATAGAGATTGCTTTAATTTAATTTATGTTAATCAAAAAATAAATATAACATTGTTTTTGTTTTTTGATATTAGGGAATTAAATTTAAAATGTTATTTGACATCTATTTTAAAAGTATTTAACTATCAGTTAACATAAAATACTTTTTAATAGACTTTAAAACTAATAAATAAATAATTAGCAATTGTTAACAAATATTGGTTCAAGACTACACAAAATGGCATTTCTCAATGGCTTAAAACCTGGAGAATAAAAGCAAATGATTCCCAGTCTTCACAAATAATTTTTACAATGAGAAGAAATATATGATCACCGGTACGGCTTAACGATGTTTTAATCCCTTAATCTACACAAGCGAAATATTTAGGGATACACTTTGACACAAAACTAACTTGGAAGTACCATATTTTTGCAAAGAGAAAAGCACTTGGTATCAGACTGCAGGAGCTCTACTGCATACTGAATAAAAGTTCAAAGCTTTCAATCGAAGATAAACTTCTTATCTACAAAGCTATACTTAAACCAATCTGGACTTATGACTTTGAACACTGTGGAAGCATATATTCAAATATAGAGATTATCCAATGTTTCCAAACAAAAACCCTTAGAATAATCTTAAATGCTCCTAGATATATGACAAATGAATATATAATCCGTGATCTCAACATCCCCGTAGTTAAGGATGTAATAAAAAGTCAGGCCAGAAATCACAAAAATGCGTATGCTATTTTATCCCAACCACTTTATTAGTAGAATTATAGCAGAAGGAAGAACGTTCACTCGTCTCCGCAAACATACGCGACAGGAACTTTAATCTATGACCGACTTCAACAAACAGATGTGCTACTGAGCACACTCCATTCAAGCCCACAAAAATTTTAAATATTTAGCTGCACAAAATTTTAATGATATTGCTTCTGTATTTATTAAAGTTAATTAGTTCACAATTTCACGTAAATTGTACATTAAGCACAATCATATAATATGACGAAATTCACAAATTAAAATAATCGAAGACATAATATATGTCTAGATATTATACATATAAAAAAGTTTCGCTGACAATTACTTTCTTTGGTTTAGCATTTTTAATGGATAAAATTAAATTAAAGATATTTAATGTTAATTTTTTTTGTGGAATGTGACGCGTCTTATGAGGAAAAGCAACTCTAAGGGGTTCGAACAGTAATGAAGAAGCAACAACAAAATTTTGATTAATTTATTGAAATATGGCTGACCATACAAAGCTGTTTCGACTATTGTCAAGTGCTCATCATTTGCGATCTTAGGAAATATTCGAATTCGAACAGTAATGAAGAAGCATTACTATTCGAACCTTTCTAAAGAAAAATTTGAAAAATAAAAAATAATACTTATTTCTTATTATTGACTAAGTATGCGCATAAGCATTAAATTAACTCCTTAAAAGAGAGTACTGTAATGAAGAAAATTTTGGCTTTCCCGAATTATTTTCAAAGATTCTGAATTGTGTATGTTGAACATAATAGATAAAAAGCGAATAGTTTTCAAATAAATTATGAACAAGACAAATGCTTATAAATGCAAAGCCAATTTTCACAATTACGAATCTATCTAACTAAATACTCGTACATTCTTTTTCAACGCTTTGGTGGTGCCTAACTGTCTTCTCTAGTACGAACAAGTTGTTGTTTCCGTTGTATGTAAAGAGGTAATATATGTTATATAAGCAATAAGTAATTGATATCGAACAAGTAAATATTTGAATCTAAAAGCGATAAAGAGACAGGCAGAGGTTTACTGTGTGTTTTATGAATTTTTTTCCTAACTTTTATTTCATTTAACATGTCGGTGAGCAGTTCTTGCTTGTTATATGAATAAATTTGTCAATGACAAATAAACGAATAGATTTTGAATAATTCAATGATAGAAAATTATAAGAAATCAGAAATAAATACAATTAAAAGAATTAAATAAACCATCAATCAGATAGCTTGGAAAACTTACCGAAGGTTTCTCATTTCCTCCGGAAAAAAACTTCTTTTCGTCAATCTTTGTTTTAATTGTATTGTCAAATTTAAAAGAATGTTTTCAAAAAATAATAAATTTGTGGATAAAGTATTTTTTAACTTCTTTACAATTCCTATTTTGGTTCAGTTATTTTCTAGAGGAACTTAGTCTTCCAAATAATTTTAAAACTTTTGATTTTATATGGCAATATAAGAATTGGTCTAACTAGTGCTATAATCTAATCTTATTTACAACTCATTGCACTTAACGTACTAATCTTCTGTAATTTTAGCAATCTCCTAATTTCAACGATTTCTCTTTCAATTTTTACACATTTTCATGTTAAAAAGTTAAGTTTATGAAATCGTATCAAACATTTCAAATCAATTAACTTAAAATTAGTATAAGGTATACCAACGAGTTATTATTTAATCATTTTAAACTTAATATCTGTAAATAACTTCAACTCTGAAAGCTAAAAAGTGCTACAATTTGCTTATTCATTACATATAATTACACTCTTAATTACAAAACAACAACTTAATATCAGAGTTTGTCATACTTAAAGCAAAATTACTTTATTAATAACACATTATCATTAAAGATGTAGATTTAACGCCGATAATAGCTAATAATCACAAAAACAAAGCAAAAAAATTACATAGCCTAGCCAATCGCATAGCCAAGTTGAGTTCATAAATTAAAGCTTGCAAGTAAAATCCGTCCTGCCCAGAAGTTGTGCAAATCACAATATAAACCTGTCTCTACTAGCTATTATTTCCTATTATTTCCTATTAATACATAAGTTCCATTTAAGTTATATACGCAAACCACTAATGACAGATTATAGAGAATTCGAAGATTGGTACTCTACGATGCAAAATCATGTTATCTCCCAACTAATAGAGCTGCGGTAAAGATAGCAAAAAAAAAGTGATTCACACTTTAAATCATCGTGTTCGTATATATAAGTTGTTCAGATATATATTAATTTGTTAACAAAAAAAAAATCACATTTATTGTATATAATTAAAATTTAAGTAATATAATAATCATATAATCTATCATCGTGAAATTGCCTCAAGCACTTACGGGAATCACTGATTTATCAAACATTTTTATTTATTAAATGATATGTATATAAATTAATATTGTCATGCAACTTAAAGATATCGATTATACTATTAGTTAATTGACTAATCAACTAATCAATTAACTGATGCATTTTTTCTACTCTATATTTGTTGTTATTGGGATTGTTCGTCATGAGTAAAACTTAATTGTTACACTTGTTTTTAAACAATTTGTGACAAGATTGTGACTTATAACTATCAATTGAATAATCTAAAGCAATTTGTCAAAATTTATTAAATTTAATTAATATTGTTTACACATAAAGTAAATTGCAACCACAAGTTTTAAGAAAATGAATATACAAATTGGCCGTGCTCAAGATAACTATAATTCGTAATTGGACGCATAGTGGATTGATTACCAGATGCAACTTTCAACGTAGTTTTCATTAAAAAATTTAATAAATAACTATATGCTATAAATATAAATAATAAAAACTATATATTTATTAATTAATCATAATAATAATAAAGTTTTATTTATCGCTGATGCTTCAACTATGGCGTATTCACAGAAGCGGAATGTCCACGAGTTAACATAACGAAGAGGAGGAGGTGGAATCCATAAATCACTTTCTGTCATTCTAGATTTATCGGATCTGATTAAGTTTATTTGAAAGATGAAATAGTCTAACGATGAAAATACAAGCAGTTATAATTGAAAGAGTAGTTCGTCTTTTCCTGCCACATTAGAGAAACCGAGTAATCATCGAGTAAAAATTTTATGTATTATTACGTTCTCTCTGACTTAACCTTACGTATTTAGAACCAAATATTATATAAGTCAATTAGCGGTAATAAGAAGATTATAAATTTGTCTTCTACCCACTATTTCTACAAATGTGAAGTGTCGTCATACGACTTTCAGGTCTTCTCTTCTAGAATTTTTTAATTATAAAACAAAGTTCTAGTATACAGTAAACATTTTTTTTTTCATTTTTAGTGACCAATGCAGCTAATTCTTTTTCTACGTATTTCAGTGTTAATATCTTCCATATTCATTAGAGTCCAAAGCTCATCGTTCTATCTTATATTTTACCAAAATATTCCAAAAATTCTGCATAGGCAGTCTGGTTTTTATTTTTTTGATTGCGAGTTAAGCAGTGATAACATATAACACATAACAGACACTGCTGTATTGTGTAAATGAGGTTGATGTTCAACTGGTTTTATCTAAATATCAGCTATATTTTTAATACCATATATCAAAAAGTTATGAAAAAACTAAGGCTCTGTTTATAACGCGTAAGTGGAGACAGAACCCGTCGAGAGTGAGAGTGGGGGATACGGTAATAAAGGGGGAGGATAGCATTAAATATCTAGGCAACAGGGTGGACAAATGATTCTTCATTATCTTCAACCGTTATTCAAAAATGAAAGTCTCAATGCTAACAACAGGAAGCTGTTATATGTATAACCAAATAATTCGACCGTCACTTCTATATAGATGTGTAGCGTTTAGCAAAGCCTCAAATACTACTATTCGCCAGCTAGAAATTGCACAAAACCAGGCTCTGAGAAGACTTTTCAAGGTAGTGTAGTACATTAGGACGAATGGCATCCTCAGGGATCTCAAGATTGATCTGATCAAAAAATATATAAGGGATAGAGCCCTGAAATTATTTACGAAAACTGACAGGCATACCAACACCGTGTTATTGAATCTCAAAATGGTTACAGGACTTTCGAGGAGATATTGCAGATTTGAGATCAATTATTGTTTAGTCTGATAAAGTGA